TGTTTGTCCGGCTCCCCGAAGTAACTGGTGGGTCCTGCAGGATTTGCTCAGACAAAGCAGCTGGCCCACATGGCCTGTTTCTACAGGGAGGAGGGCAGAGAATGTGGGAGATGGCCAGACTTGGTGCTCAGCCTCTAATTTTGGGCATGCCGGCTGGTTGGTGGCATCAACTGTGGAGTACTTCATTTCTGTCCTGTCCGGTTCTTAAGGTGTTGGGGTTTAGGGATGCTGAACACACAAAAGCCCAGACCCCAGCGCTCAGTTCAGTGAGTGGGAGTGTCAAATGCTGTCATGGAGCCACCGCCCAAAACAGGATAGAGATTTTTTTCCTAAACTCTGTAACGCCAGGCCTCTGTCACAGGTGCCCCTCTGACTGCTGTTGCCATAGTGTTTGATGAATATTATGCTGGAACATGGCTGTCATCCATGTGGTCATGTCCTCAGGGGTGAAGGGGCATCCCAAGTCACAGAAAGGGTCCTCCCAGACACCCTGGGCGTCCTCAGTCTGAGATGCACATCAGGCAGCAGCTGCTGCCTGGGAGTAGGGCCCTCTGGTTCAGCCGAGGGAGGGGTCAGCGCTGGGCACCAACAAGGTGGGGCCAGGCCAGGAGAGAGGACCCCATGGCAAGGTTCTCAGCACCAGAGTGAGCCGTTTGGGCCCTGGGGCCTCCTTGACCCTGTACCTCTCCACTGGGGTCCCTCGGGATGCTAGCTGTGCGCAGTCCAGCCGACAAGTGTCATTGTGGGGCCCCTTTCCTCTGCTCCAGCTCGGACAGCTGCTCTTCTCGGTCCTGTGCATGCTGGGCTCCCACCCTATGCGCTGCCTGGGTGGCTGTGATGTTGATCTGGGTGTATCGGGAGGTGCTGGCCCCTGAAAGCAGCCCAGGGTGAGTCCCACCTGTCCACCCTCAGCCATACCCTCCTCCACTGCCGTGCACCCAGCCAGGACCTGCTCCTGCATCCCTCAGAGGGCCCAGGTGGGGACAGGGTTGGGTGAAACCATCAGGGCATATGGCCTAGCCATGGACAAGTTTGGAAAGTTAACCTGCTTGGCATGAGGAAGGACTCCTCTCGAGGGCTGGTGTGCCAGGCTCAGGCCCCAGGGCTGTGGGTCCCAGCCCTCCTGTATCATCCCGGGTTGGACCCACCTCGAACGCCCGGACTGGCCTCCTGGAGCTCCAGACCCAGGTAGTGCAGCTGCTGTCTGGAGGAGGGGCTGATGGGGATGTTCACGTAGGTGGCCAGCTCTCTGCTTGGCCTTTCCAGCCCTGGGCTGCCTGTATTCCCCGGCCTTGGGGATCCTGTGGGGAGTGGAGCTGTGAGTGCCCAGGCAGAGGCTGAGGACTGCCCTGAGTCGACTCCCTGCCAGCCCCCTCTTTCCAGCTTCTGCCTCACTCCTCCATTTTCCTAGACTGTCCATCCTTGGCCTGGTACTGCCCCATCCTGAAATCTCAGCCACTGTCCCCTCCCTGGTTCCTGTACCCACCAGATTCCTGCAAAGAGTTGTGCCCTACCCACTGCACACATCTCTCCTGGAGAGGGGCAGGGCAGAGGAGGGGCCCCCTTCTCTTGGGCTGGACTGACACAAGGCAATCATGGGGCTCCCAGGAGTGGTACCAAGTGCCCAGACACCCACAGCCCAGTCCTCAAGTGCAGATCTTGTGTCTCTCAATACAGGTGGATCGGGGATCTCCAACAAGGAGGCCCTGGCCCTGACCCCCACCGCACCCTGTCTGGCTCTACCACAGACAGCAAAGACCTGCAGGAAAGAGACTGTCACAGTGGGAAGGCAGAGTAGGCCCACTGTGCCCTGTTGAGCAAAGATGGGCTGAGCCTCGCTATCCCCAGAAAATCTCTGCTCCGAGGCAAGGGCTTCCTGTAAATCTGCGGCGTTTGTAACGTACAGAATCCACCGCAGGAAAAGAAACCTCCCATGAGGCCCAGCAAATGGGTGGAGGGAGAGCAGGGTGCCAGTCTATGCTCACTGTGGGGAAGAGGGCGTGGCTGAGGGTGGACAGGAAGCCATGCTGGTGAAGCCAGTGGGGCAGAGATGGGGGGCACCAGGGTCCTGGAGGCTGGACGTGCTTCCTGTGGCTTGGCACTTTGCTATAGGGTTGAGGCTGTATTTTTCAACATTTCTCTGGGTGGATGGGTTGGAGGGGAGAGGGTAGAAGCAGGGAGGACCCTGAGCCCTGAGCCCAGGCAGGAGCTCAGGCAGAAGGGATGGAAGGTTTGGGACCACCCAGTACCACCCAGGGTCTCTTGGGTGATAAACGGCACTGGAGGGCAGGAGGGGTTCTGACGCACGTTCCTCTCTCTCTGGCTGAGACCTTCCCTGTCCTGCCCCAGGTTCTCCTTCCACCCACCTGGCCACCTGCCCCTGAGCCCCTCACTGCCCTCCTCCCAGGGCCTTCTTCCTCCCTTCAATTTTATCTTCTTATGAGCATTGCTTTATGCCACCTCAAGTAGTTTCTGGAACCAAGCAGAGAACACTCCTGGGAGCTCCACCCTGGGCTGAGCTGGATACCACTGGACCCACCAAGGTCAGACCCAGCTCTGTCCCCAGCTAGCCCCCTACGGGACCCAGGGCCCCACCTCCCAAACAGGTGACACTTGCCTCAGAAGAGGGACTGGGGGTCTTGGCTCAGCCTGAGGCAGCTCTGAGGTGCAGAGCTGGCCCCTGACCTCACTGCCCTGCCTCAGGCCCGCCTCCCTGGCCTGCAGTCTTTCCTAGCCTTGGTCCACCAGCCTCTACACTGTCAGCTCGGTTTCTGTGAGGAGCCCCTGGAGGGACCCCAAGCCTTCTGCTCCCTGCTTGGGCCTTCTTCCCCTCCCGAGATAGAAGCTGCACTAGTCAATGGTCACTGATGCCCCTGTCCCCACTGAGTGAGTCCCCAGGCCATCCCACCTGCTACCACAGGCCTCCACTTGGCCCACCCCTGCATTATGGCTTTCTCTGAGCACACGCTCCTCCCAGGCGGGTCCCAGACTTTGCCCTGCCCACAATGTGTGCAGCCTCCCATGCACAGGTCCAGGCTCTGCTCTTGTGGCCCCACTGCCCCAAGACTGTGTCTCCTGAGCCCCTGACCAGTGGCCAGAGGCCCACTGCCACGTAGGTGCTCCTGAGGCAGGCCAAACTCCAGTCAATCAATCCCCTACTGTACTTGCCTCAGCTGGGACTCAGTCCTGCTACCCACTGTTAACTGCCACCAATATCCATCCCATCCATTGCCTCATACCACTCACTGCCACATGCCACCCACCACCCAGTCACCCTCTGTCCACTGCCATTGGCTCCCTGGTCAGACCTGGCTGAGACCTCCCAGCCTGACTCCCATTCCTCTGTCCTGCCAGGGGGCACTGGGTTCCAAAGCCAAGTCCTACCTGAATGTGTCATCTCGAGTCCCAGCAGTGAGGCAGCGGCTCCCTAGAACAAAGAGACCCTGTGTCAATGCAGCCATCAGGCTTCCCCTCATCCTGTGCCTGGGGCCCCCAAGAATCAGGTTGCTCAACCCAAGAGTGACAGAATAGGCCATGGTGGGGGGGGGAAGCCCAGCCTGCAGTCCCCAGCTCCTCCTCCAGGCCCTTGCCTCCCTGTGCCCCAGTCTCTGGGCTACCCTTGAGCCCTGACCCCTGACCCTGGCAGTAGCTGCCTATTGACAGTTCAGCCTCAGGAGTCAGGAGGGCATGTTTTGATCAAATCAGGCTGGGTTGGCCCTGAGGAGGGTCTGCAGAGAGGAGGGAAGACGGGCAGCCCAGAGGCTGGGGCACGTGGGGGCAAGAACCCGGAGGAGGAGCTGGGGACTTCAGGCTGGGCTCCCCCATGGACAGGGGCCCTCACCCCCACCTGGGAAGACATGGAGGCTGAGCCACACCAGACTCCTCAGAAAGGGCCCTGGAGCAGGTACCCGGAACCCAGCAGCCTTCTGCCCCTGCTAGGTCCAGCCTGGTGCTGGGGCTTCCAGGGTGGGGGTGCTGGGGCCCCACTTGGGGGAAGGACTGGGAGGCTGGGCATGGGGATCAAACTGGGTGCTGATCCAGGCCACAGTTAGGGCAAATGGTCACAGGATAGGACAGGGCCCCTCAGGGCAGCTCTCAGCAAGCCCACATCACTTTTGGTAAGAGTCCTAGGGGAGCTTGGAGGCTTGGAGCCTCAGGATGAGAAGCTGACACCCCCTGAGCCCATCACACATACAAGCCTCCCAGGGCCCCTCTGGGAGGGCTCCCAGCAGCCCTCCCCTGCAGGCTCCACCCTCTAGTGTAGCCTTCGTGTTCCCAGTCCAGCCCCCATCTGTCCTAGTTCTGTCCTCGACCCCAAGGCCCTGGCCACTTGGCTCCAACCTTGTTGTCCTGCTCTGCCTGGGTACCACACTCCAGGCAGCCCTTCCCCTGAAGTCACCACCATCACTGCAGCAGGAGACCCGAGACCACAGCTGGGACACTTGCACAGGGCCATGATAGGCAGCATGTCCCTCAGGCTTCCCTGCCTCCATGGGGAGTCACTTGAGGTCAGTCTGCTGTTGTGGAAGGGATGCCCCCGCAGCCAGCTGCAGGCAGGGGACTGTGGGAGCACATCAGGGCTCTGGGGCAGCAGGGCTGGCTCCCCTGCCCAAAGAGCCACAGTCTCTATTTTGCAACAGACTGACCCTTCCACTTCTGCTGGGGGTGACAGTGAGCAGGAAGAACACAGGCACATATCTTTTGGGCCTGGCACAGATGATGCCCCCTCCCAGCACAGCCAGGGAGGCAGGGAGGCCTCCTCTACAGAAGAGGAAACTGAGGCTCAGAGGTCAGAGACCTGCTGAGGCCACCCAGCCAGCAGGTGGTAGACGTGGGCTCCAAAGCCTCTATGCCATGCGGTGCTGTTCTGGAGGCCGGCCTGAATTCCCTTAGCAGAGTCAGGCCCTCAAGGCTGCTCCCAGATGTGCAGGAGTGACTGAGACGGGGTTCCTGGGGGTGGGGTGGGCCCTGCACTGGGCACTCAGGCAGTAGAAAGCTGCAGCTCAAACTAGCCCTGTGCTGGCCTGGAGGCAGCGAGTCCACCTGTACCTGGAAGAGCCTTGTGTCCAAGCTGGAGGGACCACAAGGACATCACTGTGGTCTCCAGGAAACACTCACCACATACACATGCAAACACAGGCGCAGTGTCACAGGCACACCCCACTCCGTGGGCTGTCCCACCTCCATGGCATTCGGGTGTAAGGCTGACAAGACCAAGACCTCTCACCACTGTGACCCGAAAGCTGAGGGTCAGGCCCTGGGACTCAACATCCAGCCACAGGCTGGTAGGAGGGCTGGCCAAATGGAAGAGGACAAAACGGTAAGAAAAGACGTTTTATTTCCAGTCTGAGAACGTATCACAAACAGCGTCATGTCTTAGAATGAACAAGAACGACATCGTCAGTCAACAGTGAGGTACAAAGTTCCAGGGAGGCCGTGGAACCCAGACAGCAGGATTCAGAGCTGAGCAGTGGGTCTGGCATGGTGGACATAGGCCAATGCAGGGGCAGGGGCCCCACACAGACCAAGCTCCAGGCTGGTGACCATGGGCAGGGCCTAGAGCCTCTCCCAGTGCCAGTGCAGCCCGGGAAGCCCAGATGTCCCCATCAGTCTTGCCCCCCAGGAGAGTGCCAGGCAGGACCCTCTGGCCACTGACCTGTATGAGCCTGGGTCAGATAGCAGAAGGTGGGTTGTTCTGAGGACACTGCACCCCCAGAACCCTCCAGGGGCTCAGGCAGGGGCTGCGAAGGGGACGGAGGGGGCTCTGAGTCCCAGACCGCCTCCGCAAGTCACAAGCCTCCTGAGGGTCAGTCCTCCCGTGGATGGGGGCACGGCACCCTCATGGAGGCGGGGCAGGGCAAGTGACACGCAGCCTGGGGCCTGTGGTCAGGGGTGCGGGGTCCACAGCTGCCACAGCTGGTTTAGTTTTTAGCATGTGGTACAACCATGAACTATGGAGGGGACAGGGAGGGATGTGAGAGTCAGTTGTCCCCTAGGGGCTGGGCAGCAGGGCCCCAGCCCTCAGGGCCCCATACATGGCCTGAGCTGGCACTTGATGGCAGGGCACCAGGGCCTTCAGAGGCCTGCAAGCTGGCTTTGGCCAAGACCATGCCTTCCAGAACTCGCTCTCCAAGTTGGCTCCCTACTGGTGTCCACAGGCCCACCCCCAAGGCTGCCCTCCCAGAGGAGGATGACCCTGACTGGTCACTCCCAGCCCCAGGCCTGGCCCCAGCACACAGAGCACACTCTGCCTCCTTTCTCTGGAGGGACACAATATAGTCCCTCGGCAGCCGCAAGGCCTGGTCTCCGGCTCTCAGGGAGGGGGGTTTACCTTGAGTCCTCCACAGACTGGACATGGTGAAAAGAAAGCTGGAGATGGCCCAGCGTGGGGGCCACTGGCACCCCAGGGCTCGCCGGAGGCTGGGCTGGGCAGCATAGCCCCGCTGCCTGGGGGGGCCTCTGTCGCCTGTCCCCGCCGTCTCGCACCCAGCCAGCCTGAGGGACACCCAGTGGATGTCTGGCCGCCCGAGTCCCCAGCCACAGCATCGTCCGGGCCACCCTGGGAGGCCGGACTCTGGTCCCTTGGAGCCTGGCGCAGGCTGCGAGGAGTGTCGTAGTGAGGCCGCAGTCCCGCGGGCACCTGGTACTCAGCCGCCCCGGGCGGGCAGGCACACAGGCTGGGCTCCACCGCCCCGGCAGCTGGTGGCAAGCTGAGCAGCGAGCCGAACTCGTCACCGGCCCGCCACACGTCCAGGCTGCTGCCCGCGTAGGAGGAGAAGCTGCCAGAGTAGGAGGAGTGGCTGCCTGTAGCGATGCCGCTGTCCGACGAGCTCTGGCGGCCAACCTCCTGCAGTTGCCGTGGTCGGAGCGGTTTGGGGGGCGGCCTCGATGCGCCCAGCGTGGCTTCCCCTGGCACCTGGGCAGCCGCCAGCCCCGGACCCTCCTGCGACGTGCTGGCGGAGGATGAGGACTGCTCCGGCCATGCAGTGAGCCGACTGCTGGCGCTGATGTCTGAGTGGCTGGCCTCTGAGGAAGAACTGGACAGGCTGCGGTCGTCCCCTGGGACAGAGCAGAGAGCTGACGCTATGTGCTATGCGGGGGTCAGGGGAGGGCTCAGGGTGGAGACCCCATGGTCCAGGGACAGCCCAGCCCACTCCTGCCCTTCTCCACTCCCTCAGGAAAGCCCAGGCCCACCCCTGCTCTCCTCCTGACTGCCCCTGCCCCTTCTCCTGCAGCAGAGTCTTCCTGAAAGACCGATGGGACCCTTTTCTTTGCTTCCAGTCCCTCTGTCCACAGGCCTCCTGACCTGCCCCTGGGCTCCCCTCTTCCCTCACCACTCTGTGTCCAGCTCCCCCACCACCTCCAGCCCCCCTTTCTCAGTAAGGACCTGGGGCAGCCCACCCTCTGCCCTGTCACAGCCCCCTGCCCAGCTGGAATGTCCCGTCCTTGGGGACTTTCTAGGCTCTTTCGCCAACGTTCAGTAAAAATTTGTGGAATCCTGAGTAAGAGAGGAAACAATGAATGAACTGGCAGTAAAGGGAGTGAATGAATGAATGAATGAATGAACAGGGAGAAGAAATAAAAACAGGAGGGGCAATGAATGAATGAATGAGCAGGAGGGGAAGGAATAAATGACGGGAGGGACTGTCCAGGGAGATCCCTGCCATGCCAGGCGGCCCCAGCCCTACCTGCACTGCCCGGCCGGCCAGAGGGCGCCAGGAGACTGAGCCGCTTGTCCAGCTGCAGAGCCTCCAGGGCTTCCTGGGTCACTCGTTCCTCCACGGCTGAGGGCCCCCCAGGGCTTGGGTCTGTGGCAGAGAGAAGGGTCAGCAGAGGTGACCCATGTCCGCAGCCCCTGCTCCTGCTGGCCGGCCAAGACATCATAGAGGGTCCAGTGGCCTTGGGGGCCACATGTACCCCAACCCAGCCCTAGCATGGTGGTCAGGCTCCTCTCCACGTCTCGGCCCCAGCTGCTGGACATCACCCACCTCCAGGCAGGTAACCAGCAGCCCAGCCTGAGTCCTCATGCCCAGGGACAGCCAGGACAGCAGTCTACCCAGACCCTCGCCCCCAGAAAGCTCCCTTGAGACTCCCTGCCCATGCTGGCCCATCCCAGGCACTTGGTGGTGTTGACATTGGATGTAGGCTGCCTGGCTCCAAACATCAGGAGTCTGCTCCCTAGCCCCACCATGTCTTCTGCACACCCAAAGAGGTTTCCCTGCAAGGAACCACAGGGCACCCCAAAAAAGCAAGCAACCCCTCTAACTCAGAGGCCTCCTTTGGGCCTCCAGGCAATGTCTCAGGGTGGGAGGCTCCCCTGGTTGGCCTCGGCTGCCCTGGGCTCTCTGACCAGCTCCTGACACCATCCACCCGGGGGCTCCTGCCAGGGTGTGTCTAAAAGCAGGTAGCCCAACCCATTGTCTCCCAAATCTAGGAGAAGTGGCAGCATGAAAAGTTCCCACTAAGTCCTGAGTCCTGTGGCACACAAGGGCGGGAGAGTACAGCCCATGGGTTGTGGCAAGAATGGGAGGTTGCAGCCCGCCGGTAGGGGCTATAGAGCGAAAGCATAAGCTCCTTCCTCCCTCCCAGGGCAACCTATATCCAGGTGAGTCCTTAGCCTAATGGGACATTGTCCTTCTGTTGACCTTCATGCCACACAGGTACCTGCGGGAGCCACCACATCAGCGTCTCAGACCAGGAGTGCCCTTCCCAGGTTAGCCAAGGGTTCATAGCACTGGGGCTCAGGAACGTGCCAGAAAGGCCTTGAGGAGCCACCCCCACCTGCCACTCTGGCCACCTCAAGGGAACTGCCCAGGACACGCCCTGCAGCACAGAGTCTACAGGACTGCCAGGGACAGGGATCCGGGTGGCACAAGCCTCTTCCGTTGGTCCCTGTGCCTGGGAGAGATGAAAGGTGATGGTGGCCACGGCCCAAAGCTCCCGGCTCCTCCTGACCAGCAGTCCCACAGCCTTGGACACCATCACAGACACACCCTGCTGTGTGACAGGACATCGGGTGCCACTCGTTGCACCTCAGCAGCTGAGGCTCCATGTTGCAGGTAGCAGACGCACCTATGACCCAGAGCCCTGTGGATGCTCACCCCAGGGTGGACGCCCTGCAGCGGGGATGGACAGTGGGTCCTGGGTGGCACTAGGGCCAGGACACAGGACATACTCTCCTGGCTGCGTCCTGTCCACTGACTGGAGTGTAACATGTGGGGGAACTCCCAGCTCTGGCTCACACCCTGGCCTCTCATCCTTCCTGCACACTTGGGGTGCAGCAGCAGCACACCTCAGTGGAGGCAGGGGCCAAGGAGGTGACCTTAGAGCAGGGCAGATGCGGGACCTCTGAGCCCTCCCTTCCCATCCTGCCTCTGGGCCTTGGCATCCACACCTGAAGGCCGAGGGGCTGGACTTGGGTTTCCTGGGCCCCTCCTCAGCCTGAGCACGGTGGAGTTGGAAACAGCAGGCAGCAGAGGCCCAAGTGTGAGGCACCGCCAGCTGAGACATGTAGCCCAAGCCCCATGGCTGCAGGCCTCAGTGGGGTGCCAGCCACGGAGCTTTGCTCACCCTGACCCTGCTCCAGACCCCGCCCTGTGGGCCAGGACCTCCAGCTCCTTGGGCAGAATGCTGGCCAGCTCATTGCCCTGCTTGGCTGTCAGCCCAGGTGACCTGGGCCCCACACCTGGGGAGACACTGGGGAGGCAGAGCTGCAAACCGAGGCCCCGCAGCTTTCTAAGAGCTCCTAGCTGATGGGGATGGTCTGTAGAGTAGGGTCTGGGGTCTCTGGTCAGCCCACACGCCCCAGTGTCAGTAGTGTCCCTGCCTAGGCATGAGCGGTTCACTGGCTGCCATGGAGCCCATTGCACCTCTGGATGGCCCTGTCCCCAGGCTGAGGCTCCCCTAGCAAACGCTGCCCAGTGCTGTGTCCCCAGTACACCTCCACCTTGCTCAGGAGAGAGCGGGGTGCCCTTATAAGTCCCTTTCCCAAAGGCCAGGCCCTGGGGCTGGCTCTACACAGAGGACCATGACGTGGGGCTATGCTGCCCTGGGGCCTCTGGGAGCCCCACCCTGCCCACCCTGGACCACAGTGTTCCTATACACTGGAGCTGCCAGGCAGGAAGACGCCAGCAGGGAGCGTGGCTGCACTGCCCAGCAGAGCCGGTTGGCAGGGAGGCCCCAACATTGCCTCTGCCTCCCTGAGCCTGTGCGGAGGGTAGGCAGTGAGTGCCTGGGCCTACAGCCAGAAGGGCGGTCTGGGTGCCTGCTGGGCAGGCACTAATTGTCCCTTCAGGTCAGCACCACCCACCAGGCCCTGGCTGGCTGGCTGGCTGGGGGAGTTGTACAAGGAGCTGCCAGGTGTGAGGTCACTGACTGGTCTCCTGCCTGGACACGAAGACAACTGCTGTCATCAATGGCAAGAGGAGTCACCAATGGCCCACTGGAGAGACCCAGTCAGGGCCTACTGGAACTGGGGGAGCCCAGCTCTGCCCAGGGTAATGTCCTCCCATCCTGGTCCAGCACCATCCCTGGCCCTGGACTCCTTGGAGAATGGTGCCCAGGCCACAGCAGGGCAGGGATGGTGCTCATATCCCAAGCCCTATCCACGCTAATGCCCACAGCTGCCATCCCCTGACCCATAAGGTCCTGGGCTTCTCAGCTGTGGGCAAGAAAGGGCAGCCCCCTCACTGGGCTGATGAATTGGGACACTGTGTGGCCCAACGAGGGCACCCTTCCTACTGCCTGGCCCAGCTGGCCACACTCCTGCACCCACCTGGGAGAACTGGCCGCAGCCCAAAGGGGCCCTTGGTGGGTGAGATGCCTCGGACAATGCAGTCGAACAGAAAACTGATCTGCTCCCCCTCGGCAGAGGACAAGAAGAAGACTCCGGCCCCTACAGGGGGAGGACAGATACAGAGGTCAGCCTGGCCTGAGCATGGGCTGGGCACATAAGAGACATGGGCAAAGTCCAGCCAAGACCTATGCAGCCCATCTGGCTTGGCTCTGTGACACTGAACCCCCAGAAGCCCTAGACCCAATCTCTCCTTCCCCCACATATCCTGCCATGTCCTTCAAACACACGCAGCTTGTCAGGGTGGCTTGGGCTGTGGGCCATGGCCCACACCAGGCCTGTGCGAGCTGCCTTCCCACCCACCTCCTCCACGCTTGGCAACCCGAGGTGCCAGGTTGAGTAGCTCCTTGTGTGATGCCCGGGGAATGGGCAGGGATAGCTTGTGGAGAAATGCCAGCCAGACACCCGTCCTCAGCCATGCCACACTGCAGGGACACAGTGGTCAGGGGGCTGGTGGGGCATTCTGAAGCCGAGCTCAGAGCTCTTCTGGCCACAGGCAGAAGGTGCCCAGCTGCAGGCCGCCCTCCTGGGGCTGGCCGGAGAGCTTCTTGGGGGACATGCAGATTCTGCTCTGCCACTGGGAAGTTGTGGGGTTAGTCCCTGCCCTCTGAGCCTCAGTTTCCTCATTTCCACCAGTTTCACATGGCTGTCCTGAGGGTAAGTGAAGCTGCAGATGCCCCATGAAGCCCAAGGTGGCCCAAAGGGGAACAAGAGCTAAGTGGGGTCACATCCCAGGACAGCTCCTGCATGACCTCAGTCACGGATGACCCTCAGCCTGGTTTCTTACCCAGTGCTATGGTGAGGTTTACTTTTGCACACCTGTAAATGCATGGTGCACTGCTCACCCGCAAATGACCCAACTGTCACTCTTGTGGCCAGAGGCTTGTCCTCCCCCATCTGATAGTAACCAGCTCCTTCCCTGATGCACTCTTGGGGAAACTGTGTTGGATGGCTCCCAGGTACTGCTCCCCAACCAGGAGGGAGGACCCATGTGGAATCGGCCACCCTACAGAGCCAGAGTCAGCCTGGGAGCCGGCACCACAGCTCTCCTGCTGGGCCAGGGCCCCCGGCAAGGGTGAATGAAACCCTCTAGGCTGTGTGAATGGGGAGGCCGTTGGCTGCACCCCCTAGTGCACTGGTCCACATGGGCCGACACTCAGCCTGGCATCAGCACACAGGAATCCCTCCTGCCCTGGAGTCTCTGTCTGTTGCCCAAAGAAAGGCACGCTCACAGGGCAGGCCGGCAGGGGACGGGAAATCTCTGCACTGAGGCCTCTGCTGCCTGGTCACGCTCCACCCTCATGGAACACAAGGCCATGCATTCCTGGGACTCGGGCCAGCCCTGACAAGTGGTGGTGATGCTGTGGCCCTTGGCGCCACTCTGGGCACGTGAGGGACTGAGCACCCTGCGGCTGCTGGAGCTTCCTCTACGTGATTTCCCCAAACTGGGCAACATAATGGTGTCATTCCAGCTTTGGAGAAGAGGAAACTGAGGCCCAGAGAGGGCAGCTCAAGCCCAATCACTGGGCAACCTGGGCCCTTCTGGCACCCTGAGCTTCTGGGCCCACTCTGGCCAAGGGGCTGCTGCTGAGCAGAAGCAGAGATGGGCTGGCACCCCTTGATGCACACAGCAGGCGGGGTGGGTGGCAAGAGGCTCACTCACCCAGAATGGCCCTAATGTGGTGGGGCCTCCCAGCTGGCTGGGCTGGAGGGGCCTTGTGCCAGGGCCTGGGAAGGCAGGCAGGCTCAGGGACGGCTCATCACGCCGGCCTTGGTCTGCTGGCGCTCCCTGCCCTGAGTGCCTAATGTGGAGGAAAGCTCAGCCAGTCCATCCCCCAGCTCTCACAAAGGCCGGGCCTCTAATCCTGAACTCACAGCAGCTGGCAGAGGCCGCGGGACAGTCAGTCCCCCGACTATAAAAAACACGTTGTGGAAGGGAGCAAGGCGCCTGCATTCCTCTGGGGCGTCTGCCCAGCATCACAGCCTGGCAGGCGTGGTCAGCCACGCCAGACCTGGGAGCACAACTCCACCCCACCAGCCCCAGGCCCCTAGTGGCACCACACCGGTCACCCCCATCCACACCAGCAGAGCCGATTCGGGGCCCTGGAGGAGGATGGACATCTCAGAGGGCTGGTCTGCCTGGGCCTCAGGGCAAAGCCTTCCTGAACACAGCATGGCCAGCTGCCTTCTTGCTGGCCCTGCCTTGCCCCAACCCTGAACCCACCCCTCAAGGGTCCTGGGAATGCCCAAAGCTCCCTGGACATGCAGGCTCCACTAATATACCTCCACCAGTAGGCTACCACCCCACTCCTCGGTACCCCTTGTACCTAGAATTCATGTTGATGGTTCAAGACTCAGACACCTTTCCTGACCTCCTGACCCCTGACCTCTGACCCCTGACCTTCTCAAGAAGCCAAAGGTTCACTCTGTGATGCTCTCATGACTGCATTCTCTGGGCAGCTCCTGTGACACTAGGCTGGGAAGGCTCCTCTGTGGCCCCCAAAGTCCGACCAAGCACCTGATGGCCAGGATACCCCAGCACTTAGCGGCAGGGGAAAGACACAGGTTCAGAGACTGCCCAGGTGCTGCCCAGGTGTTCCAGGTTGTCCAGGGAGCGCCTGCAAAACCGGGCACTGCATTTCCCCCCATCCCACGAAGGCCGCCCCTCCTTGAGAGGCCAGGTCCACATCCCTGTCCTGGAATTTGCACCAGCGTGTGACTTGCCCTTGCTAATATACAGTGGCAGAAAGGACGCTCTTCCAATTCTGGGCTGAGGCCATGAGGGACCCAGTAGCTTCTACTTCCCTGTGGAAGCCATGAGCCACCACATTGAGCACACTGGGCTGTCCCCTGAGGAGTGAGGCTTCTCAAGAGAAACTGAGGCATCCCAGCCAACAGCCAGCACCACGGACATCCTGGGCCTTCCAGCCCAGCCACAGCCATGCCACTGCCCAAGTGACCCCAGCCAATACCTCGTAGAGCAGACACAAGCCATAGCTGCTGAGCTCTGCCCAGATCCCAGACTCATAGATGATGAGCACAAAACAGCCACTCCACTTGGGAACGTCTGTTACACGGCAAGAAATAACACAGGGACATGCAGAGGACAGGAAGAGGGAGCTCTGCAGGACACCCGCAGAAGCCAGCTGCCGCCTGGGCTCACAGACAGCTCTTCTCTGGACAGAGCCTTTAGGTTGCCAAGGGGTGAGAGCAGCCTCACTCACAGTAAAAATGCAGTTATTTCCTAGGGAACATGACTCCAATGAAAATGCTGTTGCACTCAACTCAAAGATTCACCGTCTGTAAGAAACAAAATATTCTTCCATTCAAATATCCAACCAGCCATGAGATCTGAGATGACCTCCGTCTTCAGTTCAGCTCTAAACAAACTGGCACTCCCTGAAAGCTGCTTTTGTTGACAAAGCTCACACATTGGAACAGGGACAGAGTCTAGAGGGGTCTGGAGGACTTTCATGCTGAGAAGGTTCTAAAAAGCTTCT